TATTATCATCAATAAAGTACATTTATTGTGATATCCAATTATAAGACACACACATGTCAGTTGAAAAACTGTTTCTGCTCAAATATTATAGATACCGAACAGAGTATTTAAAATTTGGCATTTCTCGGACATTATATAGACCGCGCGCTGGCTGACGTAAACGCTGTTTAAGGTGGGAAATGTAAAACGAATGAATATGAATACCTTATCGGGATGCTTACTTTAGAAGTAAGTGTGCTTTGCATACTGTGCTTTGCATACTGTGCTTTGCATACTGTGCTTTGCATAGTACGCAGTAGTAACGACTGTGAGATAGACCGTGTTTGTTCGTTCCTCGCTGACGTAGATACGGAGGGATACAAGAGGGATTCGTATGATATTTCGATATTTTCAATTTCAAAGATGCAATATCAAGCCCCAGGCACAAATTTAACTTCAACTGGATCTTATTATTCTAAACACATGGTAAGATTTTCTACTGACACATGTTTATATAACATTTATATTCGCTAGGCTTACAGCTTTCAACTTGGCTTTTCATGATGAATAATTTAAAAATAAAATGGTAATTAATTTTTTTTAAATAACGACGGAAAAAAACCTGCCTTCAATTGTTATTTCATCCATTTCATCCATCATCACAATCACTACTTTCAGATGTATCAAACAAATTTCTATAATAATATTATATCTGTAAATATCGTGAATGTTTATAAAAATTTTCATCAATTTTATTAGATACGCTATTATTTTTATTTATATCAAAAACAACTATTGCGTCATCTTTTAATGATATAATTCAACTTTTTTATCGCAGATTGTAAATCTGAGACTAATTGTTGTCAATGGCACTTTTTTGAAGAATTATTGTTTTGCGATGAACCGATTCATTATTCATGCAGGAAATGTTTCAATGTATATCTCTTCTATGTTTTTATTCTGCATAGTTATTACGCATATAATTATATTAGAATATAAAGTATTAAATAGCAGAAAAGCACTTTTTGTATTTATTTTATTTAAATTATGTTTCAAAAGTCAACTTTTTTGGCATATCGTTCTATCAAAACGCGCGTTCCACAAACTTATAGCGTCCACAGCATTATGATTCGCAGCAATATATTACATGTCGTAAATGAAATTGATTAAAGCGAGGCGTATTCTTTGAATGGAATCGTTCCAAGTTCACCGGGGTGGGGGTGCGTGTCGTTTGAAGACCTTTTGATCGGCGTTCTCACACTCGAGAGATTAACACTCGTCCTTGTTAATATAAAATATCGCTATAAAAAGAATACACGCTTTTCGCAGTGATGCATCAACGTGTTTAATGAATGACAATAAATAATGTTCTTTATGTAATAGAATTATAAGATGACTCATAAAACTATGAAACGTCCGAGACTAACGCGTAACATAATGGCAAAATGACATTCGCGAGTCCACTTGTTTTCTTGAAAATATTAGTAATTTATCCTTCTCTTGATTTTCAATATTATATAAGTTTCAATTTTTATTAATTAACGAATATTCATTCCAGAGTTGATTCGTAATTCAATTATGTCTTGATATGTTTTCTCCTGTTTGATATTTCTTTTACTACTAAATTTATAGATTTACTATTAAATTTTACTATTAAATTATAGATAATTAAAGTATCTCAACAATCCCATCGCATTTTTACTAAAAACTTTGAAAGTAAATCAAATAACTGTTCGTTAATTGACAAAAGTGCGAGTATATTTCTGAGCGTATTTAAACCATCTTGCAACGTTAGTCATGTTCGGCTCTTATTAGCTTTAATATACTTTTTAATGATTCTAATTTGTCAAATTATACTAACATTGAAAAGAAAATTTTATTTTACTTCACGTATTTTATCTAACTTACTTATTCGCATTTAAAAATGTATACTTCAGCATATGTTTTTATCGTAATGACGGTTATTTGTAATCAACATAGAAATAATTTGTTTCTTATTTAATGATAAAAATAACACGCAAATTGCAAAGTTGCAAACAACTAGAGCCAGTTATACTATAGCTAGTTTGCGCATAAACGGTATATGAGTGACTTATTGGCGAGGCCAATCACTTTCTTTTTTCAAGCATGATCGATCGGAATTCATGCAAATCATAAATTTGTCTCAAATGTTGCTAAAAACTTGGATAAATATTGTTATACTATTTTTGACAGACAAAAGATAGATGCTAGTATATAATATATACTAGCAACATATCTGTCAGTTCAAGCAGATTGATTTCACAATGCTAAATCAGCAAACTGTTATTATCGCAATCGTTGTTCGCAATTACAAAATGGAAACAGAATCGTCAAAATTGCGATTAATGAAATACGAAAAAAAGAACGATGCAAGATCGTCTTAAAAACTTTATAAACCTCAGGCACTCTCACTTTTCAAAGTATTAATATAATAATAATGTCATGCATTTATAATAACGACTATACATTATGTTTCTTAAATAATTAATTAAATTTTTGCTAATTTTAATTTTTCAGTTTCGCACTTTTGTACAAAGTTTGTACGACAAACCTTTCTTTCAAATTTTATGAATTTTTTCATCTGCTTTAGATATCGCGTCTCTGTAATTCTTAGCACAAAAAAATTTTAATTAATTCACCTTGATCTCAAATAAAACAAATTGAAGGCCGAGAACTATTTTATTCGCAGTAGATTTGCAAAGTTCTTGAACTCTAAAGTGATTGAAAATCAAACGATTGAGAATCAAACGAATTATGAAAATGTAAAGCAGCGTACAAAAATTCATATGTGTATAATGGAATTATAAAACATTGATTTGTGTGTAATGAGTAATTCTTTATTTTCTTCCACTTTTTCCAATTTAAAACTCCGATAGCGAAAGCTTTTGTTGCTAATTGCAGACAAGTTTCGGCTGAAAAAGGAGAACGTCTGAAATGTCATTTAATACGATATGTCGTGGAAAGTTCGATGATGACAAGCATACAAGATTGCTTGGTAATTTGCACTTAAAAAAATATCGATTTCTTCAGTGACATGAAAAAATGAGTACAAACTTATATTGAAGAAATGTAAAAAAGTTTGGAATTTAAACCCATATAAAAAAATTAAAGAAATAAAAATTATATTTATTTGTCTTGCATTTGCAAAAAAATTATATTCGTATATTAGTCTAAAATAGCTTTTCGTAAAGAGCTGCCAAACCTCGCGCGAGCGTTTGTCAATATTCTCCTATAATAAAATAACATATAAAACTAAATAATTGATATAACTAAATTTATTAATTAAGTAAATTCTTTTAAAAAGTATAAAACCAACAAGCAGTATCAAATGTTGCCAAGAGCCCAAGTCAAGAATATTGAAAAAAATCGTCTATCGCCTGGTCGTAGCACGAACTGCGGGCAAACTGTATAAAAGGACTCGCGGCTAGAGAGACAGGAAGAAAGAACAATTTGAGGCTTCCACGGCAAGGATGTGAAGCATACGTGCGGACAGGCATGTACGGAGACAGGACTGGCTATATTGCAAATATGGTCGAACGAGGTCGAACGTCTCGAACCTTCCATGGGCGCTCGAGACTGCGCCGTCAGAACCTTCCTCGACAAGCATCGCGATAGAAGACAAATGTCAATTCGATCACGCTATATGATCCTTTAACGAGGATCGGAATCATGCACCAACTGAACAATATTTAAGCACATTGCGAATAATTTCGCGTTACTTAAAAAAGATACAATTTCAAATATTTATCAAATTGTTGTCAAATTTTGATAATTTTTAAAATCTTTTTTGCATTATGTACATAAATATTCACAAATATCAAATACTTTTCATAGTATTACTTTTTATAGTACAGTTATTGGATATCGCAAGAATATATAACATTTCCGAACGTGACATATATTGAAACGCATTTTACGCACAATATAAATACAGATGTTCCCGCAAAAAATGTGTGTGATAAAGAATATTTATTTTAAAAAATCTGTCCCATTAAGTTATTATCGGAATGTATTGATACGGAACATATTTGACAGCGATAAATTAGAGTTTCGTAACGCAAAACATTCGTTGGAGATAAATCCATGGTTCATAATTTTCAAATTATTTTCAGATATTATAAGAAAAAAACTGATTTTTTAATTGAAGTATCTCACCCAAAATAAAGCCTATAAAACATATAATTGAGAGTTAAGAATTGAAACCATTAAACATCTCATGCAATTCTCTCATCTTTTACAAGACAAAAAAGCAATCATCACTTGGAAACATTTTTGTAGTTTCATGACAACTAAAATTGAATAAATTTCAATAAAATAAGTTAATTTATTAGGCACTTATTCAATAGTTAGACATATTTGCGATCACTGATCAAGTAACTCTCAAGAGAGTTTATAAAGCCTGAAAGCAATAAAAAAAAATAAAAAAATTTACAAATTGAAAGAAAAAAAGAGAATATAAAAAATAAATAATGAAATAAAGCTTAGAGATTACACGGAGAACCACGGGAGGCAAAGTTCGGAAAAATACATAAAAATTTAATGATCAATTCGCATCCAACATAAAAGTACACATATCTCTGAGTTCGCTCTCTGCAGGAGAGTTGGCGAAAACTCATTCACTATACAAATAAAATATATCCTAGATAATTTTAGCTGGCCATTAGCGTCTTCCGACAAGTTAAAGAAATGTAAAAATAGAAGGAATTAATCTAATATCTAACCGGTTAGATGACGCTGATGCAACCGGCACAGCGTTCAACCGCTCGTTATCTTTCATATTCTCGCCGTGTGTAACACCGCGTGGTCTCACCAATCTCTGTGATAATTTCGCGCATACACCGGCGGCACGGGCACAGCCCCGTCCCGCCGCGCCGTTTCGAGTGGCGTCGCGGCGCGCTCTACCACTACCATCCCTACCACGAACACGCGACCCAGAAGAAGAGGGGACGCTTATGCCCGCTGCGGCTTATATATAAAAGAGACAACCCCCCGAACCGATTAGCAAAGTTCCCCAAACACACGTAACACGTAACACCAGACTTTTTTCCATGTCAATCGAGTTTTAAGAACACACAGCGATAAGACGAAGCGATAAGACGAGGCGATAAGCATCGACACGAGGTGCAAACGACAACAAATCTATTGCGGAGAAGGACAGAAAAAAAAGGACACGTGGAGGATAAGTCAAGAGATTCTTGAACTCGGTCTCGATCGGCGGATCGCCAGGAATTTTGGCGACGTTGTCACGAGATCGCGCTGGCACAGCAAGGCATCACGTCGCCGAGGATCAGCCAGAGCGGACACGCTCAGCGAAACGTACGGACGAAAGGGTCGTAATTGGCGAGGAGAAAAAAAAACGCGAGCGAATCATCGCTGCGTTTCTTCGTAGCGGAAATCTTTAAACTGCGAATTCGTAGGCGAGAACAGCAGGAGCGAGCCGATAACTATACATCCGCAACACCGAGAGAGCCCGACGTGTGGAGTGGGTGCGGCGAAGGTGGCCGCCAATCACGCAGACGGGCTAAAGACGTCATTTAGGCCCCGATCGTTTCCCGCATCGCATCTCGAGGGTGCGTAAGCACACATCCGCACACACCGGCACCGACGGTCCGACCAAACGCACTCTCACCCAGTGCAACGCATGCACGCACCCGCACACACGTACGCACGCACGCGAAGCAGCGTATACGGCGGCGCACATACAGCGTATTGAACGCGATCGATCAAAAGCGCACTAGGGAGAAAGCACGACCGAATCGACCGCATTCGCTATCTGACGAGGAGGAGGAACGACGAGGTGAAGACAACGGCGTACTGCGTCGTCCAACTGTCATTCTGTCACCGGCGCCGAGAGAGAAAGAGAGAGAGAGAGAGAGATAGAGACCCGCTGTCATAACAGAACCACGTGTGATCGGCCAGTGACGTACGCGCGCGCGGAACAACGAGACAAACGAGAGCACGTAGCGCGACGCACGCTCGCACATACGTACATAAGCAGAGCACGCACGCACATTACGCACGTTACGCTACCTTCGTTAACCACCTACGCACGCATTCGCCGGCCGACCGAAGCGCACTGCAAGCGCCGGCCGCGCAACGACGAGAGAAGAGCCGCGGCGACCTACCCTGGCCGCCGCGTTTCATCGGCGTCGCCCGCGAGGGGCTCGCCAAGCGGAAGTAACGCTGCTTCGCTGCGAGATAAGCGGCCGATAACCTAACCGGGCATCACGTCGCGCCAGCGGACGAGGACGCGCAGCGCGCTGTACAGAAATCCCGACACGTGTCGCGAGACACGAGAGAGAAAGAGTGAGAACAACGTGTAGCCGACACCGCCGCCGTCGTCGTCGTCGTCGTCGTTACCCCCAGTCATCGTCGAGCCCCTTCCCCCCTACACGCTGACAGGATGCCGAACTCGCAAAGAAGACAGATGATGCAGCCATGGCCCCTGTGCCTGGCGCCCTTCGCGAAAAAAAAGGTAAGACTCATCGCAAAATTGTATGCCTCTGTATGTGTGTGTGTGTGTGTGTGTCACTCCATTCTCCTAGATTTCTCTTCGCGACAGCCGCGTCTGGTTTCCCCGGCAGGAGCCGGCTGCTGGTTCCGCACACCCCCCGTCCTTCTCCTCGCCTCGGCGCCTGACGGTCACCCTCTCACTCACTCGCTCATTGATTCACTGACTCACTCACTCACTCACTCACTCACTCACTCTCTCTCTCTCTCTCTTTCTCTTTCCCGTTCTCCATCTCCTCCTTCATACCTTCCCCACCCTTAGACTTCTGGAAATTTCCACTGCACTGGCAGCAAGCGTCTGCCGCCTTTACGACACGTTTTTTCGCGACTTTCCGGCCGCAAACTCTCTTTTCCCGGCTTGTCCTTTTTTTTCTCTCTATATTCTTACCTCTTTCTCTCTCTCTTTCTCTTTTTGCTTCCCTTCCCTCTTCCCAAGTCATGACATTGTCTACGGACTTTCCGTTCCCTCTTTAGTTCGCAATTCGCTGATTACGAATCGTTGGATTTTTCATTACGTAGATATTGTATATAGATCATTTTCTCACTATAAGAAACATAGGAATATAGTTTATCAAATGTGAAAGTATGTCAAATCAATATAATCGCTAAATTACAATTACAGTTACGAAAATTTTGCAATTCTAATGTAATAACACATTAAAGCTGTCGCACTGAATTTCAATTATTACGATTGATTTACATAATTATTCCGTTCAACGATTCGTACATTCTCTATCGATGCGATTTCTTTTCATCGTTCTTCGATGTTCTTATTGTTTCGTGCCTGCAATTCCCGACTACGGCTTCGAAGGATCTATATTTAACGAGCGGGAATCGCATGTTGGCTCGCAAAGTCATGGCCTCACGATTCTTTCGATCACGACATCGCGCTAACATTAACGTGCTTTTGCAAATAAAAAACCGTTGAAATTTTACGTATCATTCGAATCAATCTTAAAGCAGCGTTAAACTCCTTAAAAAAAAAAAACAGATAACAATATTGTCTACAAAATTTTATGCTGCTATGAAATTGAGAAGAACAACGCGGATAGGTGTAAAAACTAGAAATGGAAGCCGATCTAATTTCGCTGACTCCGACTTTCGAGGCTGTAAACACGGAGGAGTACATCTGTTCGGCACGAGGCAACGTAAGAGATCATCCTCGGATGATGCCTTTAGCATCAAAAGCTAGATTTACCGAAATTATACCAGTTTCGATCCCCGGCTTTAAAGGTCACGCCACTTCGAGACTTCGAAGTCGCGTTTCGTCCGAAGCCTCAGCAGTGAGATCAGTCAAAACCTGGTCATTCGGAATTCCATGCCGATTATTTCGCGAGTCGCGATTTTCACTGGTCGCCATGGATGACGTTCTTTACGTAGCAGCCTCGTGGAAATATCGATCGGCATGCGCGCGCACCAGGTATAAGGCCGAACACAGAACGGTCACATATTGTTTATTCGAAAAACAAAAGTTGTATTTTGGCAGAGATAAGAAAATGTCCGATTATCATACGTACAACGATATTATGCAAAAGTGAGCGAACTCGTGAAGTAAAAATACAAAAATAAAATATACACACAGCTGATTGGCACCACATTAATGTTGCGTCCTCGAAATGATACCGGACGTAATCGCGGTGACGATTATCGTTGTACATTCATTGGGCTGTTTATACAGAACGCGCGATATGCACTTCTGTTGGTACATAATGAACAAACGCGGAAATTTCCGAAAGCGTAGTTGAGCGATGCGCAAGTACTTGATTTTAGAAAAGATAAGAAACAAGGAAAGTGGAGCAATGTTGAAAAAAATGTATTTAGTAGTTTTATTTATTCACAACATATTTGTCGCATATCTGATATTTGTGATAAATATATACTCGTGACACATCTCAATTTAAAGCGAGAGAAATGTTTATTCTTGCAGCAAATTTCATGATTGAATCGGGAAATACGTTCGCCCACATTAACCACATCTAAAATCGCGAACATCCTGTACATACGGTTTAAAAATAAGCGGTATCACATTGCGCGCCGACGAGTTATCACATTTCATCAAGGGTAAACGCAAACCTATCAAATTAAATTTTGTTTCATTCCCGAGAAATGCTCCTGTGGAATAATTAATTCAAAGCGAAATCAATCAAAACTATTGACCAGTCCTGGGCTTTATTTTGAACTTTTATTTTATTCGATTAGCGTAATTATTTTTAAACAGATTAATTTATTTGGATGAGTAAAAACTATTTAATAAAACTTTTTAATCATTTTGTTATTTGATTTTTTTGGTCAACAAATTGTTTATCTTATTTTTATATTTTAATCAATCTATCTATTAAATAATCTTGCAAAATACTTTCTTACTTTTAATCAAATTATTAAAAGTAATGAAGTAACGATATAATAAATTAATTAACTATCAATTTAATTAAGATTTTGTTATTGAAACAATAAACTAAATAAAAATTGTTTTTGGAATCATTTATCGAGATAACACAAGTCAAAGTAGTTATGAATAATATTATCTTTCTACGTTGCCGTCACGACTAAAATGAGAGAAATTTAAAATATGACTTGTTATTTTGTACTGTAAATAATAATTGCCCAGATCTGTTCTTGTTATTGCAGCATCAGGTTGAAATTTCGCAGAACGATCATCGTTCATCGGAAAGATCTCGAACTCTCTTTTGGGATTAAATAATCTGTCATTATGTTCATAGATCACCTTCCAGATGGCTCGGTGCTTATCTACCTAAGGATACAGTATCGAGAGAAAAATATCGATACTATACTTATCGGAAGAAACGAATCCATGTATTTATACCGGAAAAGAAGTATCGATAGCAATAGATATTGCAGTTACATTCCTGAAAAATTTGATTTTTGCATTTTTCATTTCTTACTACATCATTTTTCACTCTTTTATCTGCCTTACGATAACAAACAAATCATAAATTTTTTATGATTGATTTAGTGACTCAGAATTAGTAGAATGCAATAATATACGTAAGCATGAGTTACTATTACGAAATTTCTTTTCATATTATTGAATAAAAATTAACTAAATTCTAAAAGATAGAAAAAAAATTGGAAAAAGTACATTACTTTTTGTTCTTTTTTCCGACGCATCTCCATATGATGGAAGCGTCGATAATAAATTATTGCTTAAAAAAAAAGAAACAAGAAAATATTAATATCGATACTCTTTTCGAATTTTTCTCATTTTTTCATCTCATACATTTGTAACGCTAACAAAAAACATCAATAAACCATTTGACGATGAAAATCCGACTTTATCATTAACTCACGAAACTGTTCGGATCCCGTTCCCGTGCTTCACGAGGTGCGGTGCGAATCGACAGATAGCTGGCTATAAAACATTATCGACTTTCAACGGTGTATCGGATCGCCACTATACTATCGACCGATACTTGCGACTCAAGGTAGACAAGAATTAAGTTAACATTACACCACAGGCAAATTTCATTTCGCTTCGCGATCTATACTACAACTGCGCGCCAATATATCTGAAATATCAAGGACGACCGGAAAATAGCCGCAGATATCTCACTGTGGATGATAAAATATAGAGACAGACGTGCATATAAATATTCGCTTGCTTGAAAAGCAACATTCAAGCCGAATGTTGTTAAAACTATAATGCATTTACTGCAGGCCAAGTCAGAATCGAAGAAATCGAGTGAATGCAGAAAGTACAACAATATGCAGATGTTGTAAACTATTGATTTTTGAAATTCTAATTTTCTCATAATATTTATTCTTCAATAAGCAATGACGAATTCGACAAATCTTTGTTTTCTAGAATGAAGAATTTATATAACGGACCATTAGTTCATCACACTCTTTCTTTTCTTCAGAGTTTTATCTGTAAATATTTATATAATTATATCTAAACATTGGAAAAAAATTTAATTTTTTTTATATAACATCGCAAAATAATGATAACTTGATTTCAAAGAAACTTGGAAGCGGTACTTTCCTTGATTCAAATAAGTTGACGAATGAAAAAAGGATATAATAATTATGTGTAAATACATATTTGAAATATAATAAATGTTTATCCACACAAATCACAGACGCAAAACAATAAAACAAAGACATCGCGCAGTAAGAAACGTAATATCGGAATTCTTTAATTAAGCTTCGCACAAACCAATCGACGGTCAATCGAACAAATTCGATGGTTTGCCTTATTACCGACTTGGCGTTACTACAAGCATATTCGACACAATCATATCCGTTCTTGTCGATTGATCGACACTAACTAGACGGGCGCTGAAGGCGAGTTGAACATTCTACTTGCATGTAAAACGGGTTGCTGTTCCACGTGAAAGAGTCTAATGCGAATTCGAGCATGTTAGCAAAATACCTAATTACTCAATGAAATCAGAGCATTTAAAAGTCGATACAATGTAAAATCAATATAATGTAAAATAAAAGAACTGTGACACGACATTCTTTCGCAACGATAAACGCATAAATGTAATAATTTCAATATCGCTAAAGAACGATGATAATAATTTTTTTTTTTCAAAATATTTTGGAGATAAACGTACTTCGTCTCTCAGCATAAAGCAAAGTAGTTAATAATAATTCGGCAATTACAATTCGTTAATTACGTTTTCAAAAATAAACAATGTGCCAAGAGAAAGGGAGAGAAAGAGAGAGAAATTAAATAATTTATGAAATTGACGTTTCATATTATCAACCTATCAATCTATAATATGTTTGATTGAGTTCGACATTAAACATATTATTAACGTTGCAAATTGTTTCAAACAAGTTATTATGAGAAAATTAATTAAATATAAGTCTTTAATATCAATCTTTTGATCGAAATATTCACAAATTGTTAGATTTTCTATCGACTTGTGGTTCACATTCTTCCATTCTTCATAGAGTAACTTACACGTAAAATGACCCGATTACATATTCTACAAATAT